TCTGAGAGGCAAGGTTGGGGGATGTAGCAAGTGGGTCTCAGAGTTCCCACAAGGACGGGTGAAGTGGAGCAGAGAAAGTAGACTCCCTTGGCCAAATCTAAATTCTCTTTGTCCAGAGCAGCTGAGCTGGGAAGGGTGTGAGGAGTCAGACAAAGGAACAAGCGTTCCTAAGAACATACCTCTGTGGTTCTATTTTCGGCCCCAGAACCCACAGCCCGGGTGCTCAGAGGGGGAGTCCACAACTCCCCAAACACCCCAGTCCTCCCTGCCTTCCAGGTGTCATCGCCACTCCCATCTTGCGGTCGCCGAGGCCGCCACCACGAAGGACTTATTGCCTGTCGCACACGCCCTGCCCACTCTTCACCCAGGCCATGCGCACGTGGGTCTCTCCCTCCCAGAATGTGCCAAGTGGGGAGCAGAAAAGGGAGCCCCATGTGATGAATTATCTTCGAGGACCTACCTGAGTTTGAACCCCAGTCCCATCTCCCACCCCGTCGAGGGACTTTGAACAAGTTACTTGACTACTGAGCCTCACTCAGTTTTCCTCACCTGCCAATGGACCCTGCATCACTCACGACCTTTTCTCCTCCTCCGTCTCGTTCTTGGTTGGTCGTGGTCATTATCTACCTTTCCGAGGACAGAGCATGGGCACTAACTGCAGGTTTGCTGTCCTGTGACCTCTCTTCTTTGTCCCATCTGCCCTCTGAAGGCAACAGAACAGCTCTTGGTGTCTCCATGGCACTTCCCAGGCACCACTGCCGTGGGGTCCCACAGGTTAGGGGGTCCCACAAGCACCTGGGGAGAGAGCCCTGGCTTTTGCACCCCTGCCTTCCGCAGCCCTGGTGCAGCCATGAGCAAGCAGCTTGGGTGAGCCAGAGGCACTGGTGGAGTGGCCACCACCTTCTTGGACGAAGCGCTCGGACCAGAAGAGGGACGAAGTGATAACAGCTGGGCAGCAGTCCTTGGGCTGGAGGATGTTCAGGGCCAAGTTGGCACGGCCCACGGAGGCACTGCACCCACATGCAGGAGCAGCAGGGGCGTGAGCGAGGAACAAGGGTCAGCAGAGGTGTGGCGCTGCAGAAAGCATCCCTGCCACATCTCCCCTCCACCAGTTTAGGACAGGTGCTACTGGAGACAGAATTCACAAGCTCCACCCTGGCTGCTACCGCAGGAAGAATGGAAGGAGCCAGGGGCCAGAGACCAGGAATGGGTGCTACACAGCCAGATGCTTAAGCTTTGAAAGACGCATCATGGCTGAGATGTGGCAGAAGATGGTCAAGATGGTCTGTCAGGTCCAGGAGGGCCCTCCCTACCAACCTGAGGAGAGATGCCCAGCCCTCCCCTTCGCCTTTGCTGGGCCAATCATGTATGCTTTGGTGCCCTCTTCTGGATTTATTTGTTACATGCATAAGGCTTACAATGGGTTTTACCCACATTTTAACCCTTTGTTTTTTCTCTTTTCCCTGCACCACCCCTTCCTGGTAAATGACAACTTCAACTGCAGGCTCACTTAGGCAATGACATCAGTTATGGGTACCATGAGAATCATCTCCCAAGCAGCATGAAGGAAAGGGCTTATTGACACACGATTATACTTGTCTGATCCTGGGCAAATGTTAATATTTGTCAATGAAATCTGGCTTACTCACACTGGAAGAAAAAAATACCTTCCTGCCCTGGCTGGTGTGGCTCAGTGGATTGAGTGCCAGCCAAAGGGTCACCAGTTCCATTCCCAGGCAGGGCACATGCCTGGGTTGCAGGCCAGGTCCCCAGTAGGGGGCGTGCAAGAGGCAACCATATATTGATATTTCTCTACCCTTTCTCCCTCCCTTCCCCTCTCTTTCTAAAAATAAATCAATATAATCTTGAAAGAAAAAAATAGCTTCCCAAGTTGCCTGTATTTCTCACTTTTATTATTATGTTTTGGGATGCATGTCTTGGGTCCTCAGAGTTTGTAACCCACCTGCCAACCAAATGCCATAAACCTTTTTAGGGTTGATTGTTCAGGGAACTGTGGAAATAAGGAGTGGGCCGTTCACTCATTCTCCATCAGTGGGTGAGGGTTTACTGAGCACCACCCTGCCAGAGCCCAGGACCATGGCTGCTGGAGACAGCCGTGGCTTTAGGTGCAAGCACAGCCTGTGAAATCAAGCAGACATGGGGCTGGTCCCAGCATTGCTTTCTACAAGCTTTGTGACACTAAACACGTTATTTACCAAGTCTCAGTTCACTTGCTTAAATAGTTAGGGATGATAGTATCTCCCTCATAACGCTGGAGTGAGGATGAAATGAAATGATGCAGGAAAGCGCCCAGCTCTTAGAGTGTCCACTGCTGCTCTCGGTGTGTGTAGTGACCACCATGTCTGGGGACAGCCAAGAATGCATAGTAGATGGCTTGCTGCCACTTTGTCACAACACATGATGAAATAACGTCATCTCTGTTTCCAGGCTTTACGACCACCCTGCGCTCACCCTTGCCCTTGACGAGTGTTCAGTCTACAGCAGCGGATCTCCACGTGTGGTCCGAGGACCAACAGCATCAGCATAACCTGGGAACCTGTTATGAAATGCAAATGATCCGACTCTCTGAATCAGAAACTCGAGGGGAGGGGCCAGGCAATCTGTCTGAACAAGCCCTCCAGGAGATTCTGATGCACACTCGAGTTTGGGAGCCACTGATCTAGGGAAAATGACAATGTATAAACGAGCAATTACAATATAGGCGGGCTTCCCTGAAGAAGTGATGTAATGAGCAGAGTCTTGAAGGAAGAGCAAGTGTTCACAGGTGGACACAAGTCAAGCTAGAGAAGGCATTAGCGCCAGCAAAGGCTCGGAGGCACAGAAGGGAGGCAAGTGTTGAGGGGACCATGGCAATCTGGTCTGGCAAACTGGGGCGTGGCAGGGAGGGGGGCGCTAGAGAAGGAAGGCAGGAGTGCCTCAGTTTGCCCTATAACTGAAAGCATGGAAGGTTTTCAATGGAGCACGATATGACCACATTTGCATTGTAGAAAAAAGCATTCTTACAGCAGTGTGGCCTGGAGGCAGGGTGGTCAGTTGGGAAGCTGCTGGAATGACCCAGGTGAGAGCCCAGGGGGCATGAACCCAGTGGCTGTAGGATGATGAAAAGGGGGTGGGTGGAGGGATATCTAGGAGAACTGGCAGACCCTGAGGGGGAGGGCCTGAGGCTGTCTCTTGGGGTTCTGCCTTGGTGGCCCCTCTGATGAAGATGGGACAGGTGTCAGTGACGGGCAGGCCATGAGTTCAGGACTAGACGTGCTCCGGATTGGTCGCTTAACCAGGACTTAATTATGCCACATTTGTTTATCTCCCAACAGTTTTCAATCATTTATTCCAGCAAATATTGACTCCCCATCATATGTCAGGAAGGTTCTAGGACAGAGGGAAACACAAAATAGCCAGAATCCGCTCTCAGGGCTGATGTGTCAGTGGTGGGGAACACCAACAATAAATACATAAACAAAAAACTTTTGAGTCGTGGCAGGTGCAAAGAGGGAAAGTAAGAGGCAGTGAGGAGGAGTGGGGGTGATCTTCAGATGAGGTGGTCGGGAAAGGTCCCTCTGAGAAGGTAACACTGAGCTCAACAATACGCCAGAGCCAGACGGGCCAAAACTGGAGGAACGGGCTCTGGGGCAGAGCGAACAGGCAAGTGCGCAGGCCCTGAGGTAGGGATGAACTCGGTGTGATGGGGAAAAGAAAGGTGAAAATCACCACAGCTGGACAGGTCGGGGAGAGGAAGACAGGGCCAGGCCATAGCAGGTGGCAGGTGGCCGATGAGAAGAGATGGGGCACGTGAAAACTCGCAGTCAGTGACCTTGAGAACCAAATGCACGTAACTGGATGCTGAGACGGTGTCTTCAAAAAGCAAAGGAGAAACATCTTAACTGCAGCAGGAAGGATTTGGGCTGTTTCAGGGGAAGTTCAAGTCATGAGAGCCATGTGATATCGGAACAATTTCCAAAAGAGATAATTTGTCACATTTTGTTTTTGTTTTAACCTCAGTGGTTAACAGTCAGGCTGATGTAAGTGCTGGCTGGCCTAACAGTGGGAATGGAAAAGTGACCTCTCACGGTATCGATGAGCGAAGATTTCAAAAAAGAGAGGGAGGAGAAGGAGGGAGGAGGGTCCTCCTTCCCCTGGCTGGGTAGGGGCTCCCTCTGGGCAGCCGTCTTCTCTACCAGCCCTGCAGGATCTGAGGCCAGACCACGTGGGGAGGCCCACAGGCCTGAGCACGCTGAGCCTCACCCACGGGAACAAAGCCAGGACCCAGCCTGGCTGGGACATGGAGAGACCCAGGCCAAGGCAGGGGGAAATGGGTCCAATTGGGTAGGTGTGCACCACCCCGGCCCAAAGAGCTGCTTCCACGGGGACATCGATGGTGGCGCCTTTAGCTGCTGAGAGCACACGCTATCCCAGCCCACAGAGGGGGCTTGACCAAGCCCCTGAGAAAAACAGAGCACTGGACCCACACCTGCCCCCGTCAGGATGGCGGTGTCCCCACCCAGAGGAGCAGGAGTAGTGGAGGCAGCCCTGTCACCACCCAACCTGCCTGTTGTGCACCTGACTCACACCTTCCCTCCAACTGGCTCACTTCCTGTTCCTCATGACACCCAGGGCTGCGTCCCCTTCCTCTGAACGTTCCTCCTGTGTGTCTAGAACAGCCTCTCTGTTAGCCCTCTCCCTCCTACTCCCGCAGCCCAGCCCAATGCTCCACCCACCCCACCTTGCCTTAGAAAACTTCCCACGATCAACACTGGCTCTCCTGGGCCAACAGAAACACACACAGAGACACACACCTCACACACACACACCCAGCTTTATCTGCTGCTGGCTCAGAAGGCTTGACACCTGGCCAGAGAACCCAGCAAGGCCTTCAGAGAAAAACTGGACGCTCGAACCTTCTCCCCTCTCAAGAAGGCATCAGTGACAAGGACAAAAGCAGAACCAACAGGGAGACCAGAAGCAAACCGCACCATACTCACTTGATGAAATACACAGCTCCTTCCTGGGTGGAATCCATCTCCCAGCCCGTGGGCAGATCTATGAGAAAGCAAGGTCACAAAGTCACCCTCTCTCCCTTCTCAGCCCCACAAGCCCGATCTGAACTAAGGAGGGATGGGAGCTGGGGGAACTAGGGAAATTCAGAGAAGCCAAGAGCATTCAAACCCCACGTTTCACCCTTTTTGTCCATTATTCTTATCAGACTGTTTCCAGCAAATAGAAAGAAAGATGGCAGTAAATGGAGCATCCCCTGCCAATGAGCAGTGACCAAACGAATCACCACCTCACAGGATTCACTCACTCATTCAACGAACTTTGATGAGCAGCTACTCTGTGTGGGGCCCTGCGCCAGCCCCCAGAGACGCAGCAGTGAACGCACAGACCGTGGCCCTGAGGGTTCTCAGGGTTGTCCCACCGCCTGCTTATATCACAGCCCCAGGCCTCACAGATAATTAGCTCCAAATTCTGCTGCCAAAGACAAGACACCAGTCCCAGGAAATCAGACTTCTTAAACAATTTTTAATAGCACTTTTGAAAAAAAATTATCCATAGAAATGCTCAGAGCAAGGAATCCCAGACCCGCCAAGTGAGCAGGGACTGAGGAGCTGAGGAACCCACGGGAGGCTCAGCCCCCGCCAACAGCTCCGGAGCGGAGCACCGCCATCTCCTGAGAGCGCCCTGGGGTCTCCGTCTCGTGCTGCCTGCCCTTCCAAAACGGCCCCTTACAGCATCCTGTGTCTCCAGCAAACAGGGCTCCTCCACCCCACAGAGGCAGAGGAGAGACCAGAGGGGATCCACTGTCAGGGGTGGGGACCAGCAGGGCTCTGGGGGAGATCATTCATTTTGGGGAGCAAGAGGTCCCTGGCTAACATATTGGAAAACAGGTGTGGGGTCTCTTCACAATCACTGCCACATTTCCGGTCAGCCCAAATGCCCACCTTGTGTACGAGGTTTCATAAAATACAGGTCTGGATCTCCCCAGCTATATTACCAGCTGGGTTCTATAGAGTGGAGAGCCCAGTTTTGATAAATTCATTTTACTCATCCCTATTTGTTGAGGTTTATTTCCATAGTTGCTGCTGATGGTAATGCTGCTGCTTCAACACAGGCGAGCAGTCAGCAGGCCCCCTGCCCCCCCGCACTCCCTGCGCCCCCAGAACTTGGTCCATAGAAATAGCAGCACCAGGTACCACTTAGCAGGGGCTCCCTTCCTCTAAGCTGCACATCTCACCACCACTAGCACAGTTCATCTGCACAGCAACATCACATAATAGGCTTCATCCCAAACATTTTTACAGATAAGAAAACAGGCCCAGAGAGGTCAACCAACTTGTTTAAGGTCACACAGGAAGTGTCTGAGCCAGAATGTGAGTCTGGTCTGCTGCCTCCAGAGCTCACATTCTTTCCTCTGTGCTGCTCCATGAATGCTACTTGTTCCCCTGTGTCCCCGTGGGAGGACATTCCCATTCAGAAGGGTGTGGGTTGGCAGCCTCCCCAAGTAGAGGGACCCCCATTGGGTCAGAATCATAAAAAATCCTGCTACTGTGATGTGCCTGGGAAAGAGGCCAGTATGGATTATGTGCCCTGCCTTTTCCAGCAACTTCCCTCCACACTGCCCTCTCCGCCTGGGCAACACCAAGGGTGCTTATATTCTTGCCCAGGCGGAGTGCCCGCTGAGACAGCTGCCCTCCCAGCAAGCTTCAGGGGCATTTAACCCCTTCCTAGCCTTGGACAACCAGTTGGCTGCAGCCAAAAATGAAGGAATAGGCCCGCGGGCTCTTATTCCTCTTCCAGTCCTAACTAGAGCCCTGATAAGGTGGAGGGACTCGAACTGCAAACAGCTGAAACACGGAAGAAGGAGACGGCCCTGTCTGGGGTCAGGAGGCCCACTGTCTGTCAGAAAGACACCTCCGGCTGTAACAGCAGCAGTCACCTCTGCTGAGAGTGACTCACTCACATACTCTGTGCCACAGCCTTTTGAGGTCCGTAATCCTATCCCCACTCTACAGAGGAAGAAGCTGAGTCCTGGAAAAATTATTGCTCAAGGCCACACTAACAGAGCGTTGAGTCAGGTCTCTCTGCCCCCACAACATCTGCACTTCGCCCTGATTCTGCTTCTCCACTGAGTGACCCGGAGCGGGGGCTGCCCCTCTGCTCTCCAACTTCCCGACTTTAAAATGAAGGCCTTGGACTCCAGGATCCCCGACATCCTCTCCTGCTCGAAAAACACAATGATTCCAGCCAGGAATCCAAAAAAAAGTAGGCTGGGGGCAAGTCAACAGCTTGCCCCAGTGTGCCCAGCAGAGCCACTGGCCCAGGGGTGACCCAGCCTCTCCAGCCCATGTGCCTGCCCTGTGGTCAGGTGAAGGGCTGGGAGGCCCGAGGCGGTGGGTCTCTGCTGGCCTGAAGAGGACAATCGGCTGTTCACTTAAAGTACCCCAGGCCTTCTGAGTCTTTGTGCCTCCGCCCTTCCGTTTGGACTGAAATCTTTGCCTGCACCTGTCCCCCGTTTGCCACTAGCCTGGGTCCCTGAGGGTAGGAATAGTCTTCTACAGAGTAAGCAATCCTTGCGGGCCCTGTCCCCTTCTCTGTCATGTTCCCCTATGCGAAAAGGTTCCTACTTACTGTACATTTAACTTAATTAAAATTTAAAATTCAGTTCCTCAGTCACACTAACCACACTCCGACTGCTCAGCAGCTACTCGCGGCCGGTGGCAACCGCACTGGCAGCACAGAGCGAGGTCCTCCCGAGGCAGCAGTTCTCCGGGGGGTTGCGGCGCTGGGGGCCGCAGCTCCGCCCGTCCGGGTCTCTCAGGATGGAGGGGGTTTGCTGACTGAGCAGGAGGACGAGACAGGAGTAAAATCCTTGTTCTCAAAGGTCTTTCCCAGATACTAATCATAAAGCTGGAGGCTTTAAAAGACCCAACAGTGAGCATCAGCCCTCCTGTAATATCCTCCAGATGGTGGATGTAATAATGTTCAGCTGAGCCCATCCATGGAGAAAGAAAAAGTCAAGAGCAAAGTCCTACTGCCACCTCAAGCCACTGCTTCCTTTTCAACTGAAAGGCAGGGACAGATGAGCTTCTTACCTGGGCTGAAGCAGTGTCCACTCTGGATGGGTGATTTCGTACCAGGGTGCACCCAACTGGTTGACTTTTCCTCATCACTGTAGAAAACCAATGAGCAAGGGTCAGATTCAAAAGAGGCTTCCCTGAGCGGGACCCGTCTCCAAATTCACGCCAACACTGACTGTCTGATCCCAGACACACGAGGCGGGAGCACCCACATTTCATTCATTCATTCATTCATTCATTCATTCACATTCACAAAGTGTTTACTGAGCAGGCTCTGAGGATCCAGAGAGGAATAATATCTGATCCCTGACTTCAAAGAAACAAACATTAAAAAGATAGTTGCAAAATATAATGTTGCGTGTCAATTGTACCTCAGTTTTTAAAAATGAAATAAAGAGGCAGTTACAATATGATGTTGTAGGATGTATACCCCCATCACAGCTGTGCACAGAGAGTGCACACATCACAGGGGTGAAGCTGAGGAGGGGGAGCAGTGCAAGGGCTTCACTGAAGAGGTGGCATCTGGGGTGATGGTGAAGTCACGTGGGGAGGACAGGAAAGGTCCCTCCTTCCGTGGCAGCTGCTCAATGGATCAGGAAGGAGGAGGCCGGGGAAAATGGCGGTTCTTGGGTATCTACAATACTATATATTTTCATTCACAACATTCCCTCACATTAGGAACTTACAGATGATGAACGTGAGGTTCAGAGAAGTGAAGTAATTGGCCCAAAGTCACACTGTCAGTAAGTAATGATGCCAGGACTCAGGTGCAGACGCATACCTCTAAAACCTGAGTTTTCCCTAATATCTACTGCCAGCAGTGTGCACTCCCCAGCCACGCAGATCCTCTGGGCCCTGGCCTCCAAGGGCAGATGGCCCACTGGTGTTTCTCAGCCCTCACCAACCAAGTGACACGGACTTTTCCAGAGCCATGAAATACCGAACCTTCTTGGCCAGTCCAAGGAGGAAAGGACTCTCAGATCCCCTGTGTCATCAGGCTTTGGGGGGCCGGCAGTCCTTGGGGCCCAGGACAGGACTACACTCCATGCTTTTAAGGTATAATTAATACTTTAATGGATATAACAAAGTCCACTAAGAAGGACTCACAAAATTTTTAGTGAAGCAAGATATCTAATAAGCTGCACATATTTAAAATATGCAATTTAAAGTTTTAACATAGTATTTACCCATGAAACTACCACACAAATCAAGAGGTGAATTCCCCTAAACTTTCTCTGTGCCCTTTGTAATTCCTCTCTGCTCCCACCACCACAGCCTTTGCTACCCTCCCCCGACAACAACTAATCTGCATCCTGTTACTATAGACTAGTTGGCATTTTCTAGAGTTTCTAGAGTGTTGTGTACATGAATCACACAAACCAGACCTCCCCTCTCCCTCCCGTGTGGAAGCGCATGCTAGTAGCGCCTCCCATCTCGTTACTGAGCAGTAGTCTATTGTAGGAGGTACCACGGTGTGCTCATCCACTCGCCTGTTGACAAATGTTGTGGTCGCTTTCATTTTGGGGCCATTCCAAACGAAGCTGCTATGAACACTCATGTCCAAGTCTTTGTGTGGACACAGGTTTTCTTTTCTCTTGGCTGAAAGAATTTTTCTCCAGGGTGGCCACCCTCTGCAGGAGGAGACTTCCCAGCTGAACTGCCCCTCTAATGAGGAGAGCAGAGAAGAAGCAAAGTCCCTGCTCTGGTGTTCTTGGGGCTCTGGAGACACTGTGCGCACTGGGAGATGACCTCTGGGCTGGGCTTTGGTCTGGGAGGCCATGGGACAGGTGCCTGAGGTGGGGAAAGCCCAGCCAGCAAAGGACTGTAACTGTAAGTGTGAGGGGGATGCTGGTCCTCACACCTCCTCTCCTGCTGCCCGAAGACTTTCCGGCCCCTGATCCCTGTCCTGCTCTCACACCCAAGCTCCCTCAGACGACAGGCTTATCTCCAGGTGGCCTGGCTATCACGAACAATCACGAGGTCACCCGTGTGGGCATGCCCCACCACGCCCTCTACTTCCCCTTCCCCTTGTCCCTCCCCAGGTGAGCCGCTGGTCCAGAACACCGCAGCCGCAGGCTGTCTCCTCTGCAGCTTCGGGCTGACAGGGAAACTATGGAATGGGGAAGACTGATATCACTGCAAATTTACAGTCCCCAGGCCTGGCTGGGCCCTAAGCACCACCTAGAATCTTCCTCAGGGGCCTCAGTCAGATGCAATCTGCAGATTGTTCTAAGTTTTCTCACCAACCTCACGTCTCTCACCTGCTTCTCCTCCCCAACCCTGCCCCTTCTCAACAAATATCTTATCTCTTAATTTAAGGAAAAAAGAACTCCCTGACTGGTGTGGCTCAGTGGGTTGAGCATTGCTCTGAGGACTTAAAGGTCGCTGGTCCGACTCCCAGTCACGGCACAGGCCTGGGTTGCGGGCCAGGTCCCCGGTCTGGGGTGCACGAGAGGCAACCATGCTCCTCTGGACGTTGCCTTCCCTCCTAGCTCCTCCTGTCTCGTGCTCCTCTTCTTATTGACCAAACATCCTTCTTGGAAACCAGTTCCTTCTAGTTGTCCCCACTTCTTGGCCTCCCACTCAGCAATCTTTGTAACCTGGTTTCTGTTTCTAGCCCTCTCCTAAAACTACTTTCCTAGATGTCATTAAAGAACCTTGCCCACCCCACCCCCGTTCCTAAATCCAGTAGACACTTTTGACTTTTCCGCTGTTGACCCTTGACTCTTCCTTCCTTCTTTCCTTCCTTCCTTCCTGACGTCCTTCCTCCTCACAGTCTGGGGCAGCTCCCTTCCCTGGCCCTGGGCTGTGCACCTCTGTGACCCCTGGCCTTCTTCTCCACCCGTTCTTCCCCTGCCCTTTCCTTACAAGCTGGTGCTCCCTGGGCACCCTCCTGTCTCCTCTCTCCCATACTTCTGGGCTGTCCCACTTCTACATGATGACTCCCAGGACGCTCCAGCCCAGGCCTTTCTCTTCAAACTCTATCCTATTAGAATCATCTCCCGAATATCCTGCGGGGACCTCAATTCGATTATCCTCTCCCTCCAAGCTTGTCTCCCCCTACAATCTGTTCCTCCTCCCATACTCCTGATCACTGTCAGATTGAAGTGAACAACTTTGAGATGTACCCTCCATTCTTCCTCTTCCCTCTCTTCCCCAGCATCCAAGCAGTCTGTGAATGCTCTCAATTCCACTCCTAAAGGTTTTTCCCATCTCTCCCTCCCCTTCCCTTCTGTTCTCACCACTGAAATTCAGGTCCCCACACCCATCTCCTGGACTTTTGCAGTTGCTTCCTCACTGCTCTCCACCCCTCAAGTCCCCACCCCCCCGCCCGCCTCCCTCTGCAACCCTCACATCATCTCCCCTCCTGCAGCTGCCAGAGGGAGTCTTCTAAAAGGCAGCTCTACGTCAGTTCTCTGTTTAAAATCTCCTTTGGCTTCCCTCCACCTGCAAAACCAGGTTCAGACCCTCAGCCTATACCGCACAAGGCCTCTCTGAAGCTGCCCCCTTCCTACTTCTGTCTCATCTTCTGCAGCCTCCACTCCATCGGTAGAGACCCCCTCGGCATGTCCTGCATAACCTGTGCCCTGGCATCCCTCAGTGCCCTCCTTCCCACAAGCCTCTGCTTCAAGGCCCCTTTTACTCCAGTCTCTATCCTACAAATGCAGCTCAAATATTTCCTCCTGGGGAGGCCCTCCTTCAACCTCCCAGAAAACATTAGTTCTCCTTATATTCCTGGAGTGAAAACCTCCATGCAAATACCTCCAGAATGTATCCTATTATTTCCTAAGTATTTATTTACATGTTCTTTCTACTCCCTTCAAGGAAAAACCTGTGTCTTTTTTTTTCTTTTTTCTTTTTATTTCCAATGCCTAGCCCTACAGCAGACAAACAGTGGAGACTCAATAAATGTTTGTGGAATGAATGAGGAAAAGAAGCTAGAAGGCAAAAAAGAGATGGGAAAGAAAGATGAAAAGAGTCAAATTAATATTACATTAGAATAACTGAGGAACTTGTATGGAAATTCAGATTCTAAGGCTCCACCCCATGTCTTCTGAACCAGAACCCCAGCAGGTAGGGTCAGGATCAACCTTTTTCATAAATTCCTTGGGTGATTCTTATGGGCAATAAAGTCTCAAACCATTGACAGAAGGAACTCCAGTTTCAATCCTGGGGATGTTCTGTTATTTAAGAATCTAACCCAGGGTCAAGAACTTTAGCGGCGTTAATTTCTAAGATCATCTAATTACAGCCTCAATTATGATAATAGTGATAATTACAGAAGAACGGCCTACAGCAAGTGTGAAAGCTGAGAAACACCAAAGAGAAACCGCCAGCTACCTGCAAAGGGAGTTTAGCACAGGGAAGGCAATGCACTGAAGTCTGCACCTACTGGGCTCCTCTGAGCTCCAGTTAACAAGTGGCCTCATCTCAGATGAGCACTCGCAGGCTCTGAGGCCCTAGCTCTCCCATCTGAAAAGGAGGCAGCTGTGGCCGAGACCCCCTCAGCTCCAGTGTTCTGTGAGTGGCTATCCTGAGGAAGGGACACTCATCCCATGTGGGTAACAGTTCCAAATGCTGTGCTTGTAGACTCACTACATTATCGGGAGATTTCTCTTCTGGCAAAAGATAACTACAGTAGGAGCGGGCCAAAATAGTGCCAGCGGGGCCACTCTGTTATAATGAGACTATGCCAAGGCCATTTTGGCTTATGAAATTAATATAACAGTGCTAATATATTACTGAGAGCAGCAAAGGCTCCATCTCTCTAAAGAATGCTGAATGTGCTGTGGGTATCTTCTCCTTCCCCTTGACCACAGCCCCATAAGGAAGCAGGAAAGGAGAGGCTGTGGGCTTGGGAACAGTGGGACGTCGGTGGTAGAGGCAGGGTCTCCTGGAATTTTGTCACTTAGCCCAGGTCTTCCCTTGGGAAGGGGGAAGTGGGCAAGAAATAAAAACTCACTCCTGGACGAGCGGGTGGACTGCACGGAGCGGCAGGAGAAGAATTGCAGGCTGGGCCTTGGGTCCAGTCATCCTCCGCAGAGCCCCCCTTCCCATCTGTGACTGGCAGGGAGGCGGAAGGCCACCACCTACCCTGCCTGGCCCTGCCCTTCCAGACTTCAGGAAGCTGAACCTGTGCTGGACTTTGATCCACTGAGGAAAAGGCGGGAGACCCATTTCAACAGGCATGGAGATAAACTTGTTAGTCATGCCTGTGGTTCCAGCCACCACTTCCCACTCCCACCGCAGCCAGCCCCCAGCCCTGCCACCTTTCAAGTTGGACAACTTTAAAGAAATGCAAAATAAAAAAGAAACATGACAGACAACATACTTGATGAAGAAGACTCGCCCACCGTGGTCAACTCCATAGGTCCACCGGCCCGGCAAGTCCAGCCAGTCAACATCATCGGCCATCTCGGTGTCCCGCTGCCCCTCTGGCTCCCCAGGCACCCGGGTGCTGAGCTGGCAGGGGCTTCCCACCCTCAGGCCCCACTTTCTGCTCCTCCTCGAAGCAGTGATGGGGCAGGGAGGGGGGTCTGTTGTAGGTGCAGCCCCAGCTGGCGGCGTCCCTCCGGGTCCCTGGTAGTGGCTCCGGCCTCTCCCTGAAGGCAGCTGGCCGACAGCCGGGCAGCAGGGAGCCGGCAAGACTTAACCCTAGCGGGGCCGTGCGTGCTCAGCGCCGCCCCGCCAGAGCCCCGGTGCTATCTGCCTCCTGCTTGAGCCCGGACTCCTCTTCGGACGCCTGTGAACTTAGGGACTGAAGATCTGCGCGGTTCGAGTTCGGTCGCTGCCGGCCTGGAACCGCTCAGGGTAGCGCGCCAGGTCTCCGTCCCTCCAGCTCCCAGCGGCCAGCAGCCTGGCGGCGGAGCAGGGAGCAGGTTGCTGTGCGAGCGAGGAGTGTTTCCTCACCGCTCCAGCTCCCAACCCACACTTGAACCTACGGGGGGGCGGGGCGGGGGGAGGCGGAGCCAGGGCACCGCCTGCGAAGGTAATTCACAGCCAGAATGACCGCAGCCCTCAGGTCCCCAAGTCCAGATGCAGGGCGCTGGAAAACCAGTTTGGCTGAAAGCTTTGAACCACGAACTTGACGGACATATCCAGCCACTGAACGGAAAAGGGGATGTGGTCAAACCAGGTTATACTCCGCGGGAGTGTAGTAGAGGAACAAAGGTCAAATTCAGGGAAGGGTGGTGGCATGGGTGTGAGCTGCAGGAGGCCCTAGGAGACTCCTCTTGCTAAGATGCCAGCCTCGTTAGTCAAGCTAGTCCTTACCTTTCTTTCTGAGCATTTCCTCCAAGAAGCCCGCCATGACTAAGTAGAATCAGAGGACACCTTAGAAACACGCTCAGAAACCAACAGCTTTTATGTGCCTTTCCCCAAACTTTCAGCGGAAGAGGAAAAGGTAAACAAACAAACAAGCAAACAAAACCAGAGGAGGGAGTGTGTTCTGTGCACAGGACACAGGGCGCCAGCTGCAGTGCTGGTGTATCAGAGATGGTGCTGCCGGCGCTCACAGCTGTCCAGCCACCAGTCTGTGTCAAAGCTGGGCTCCGGTAAGCTTTCCCAGCTTACACAGGACCTTCCCCTGGGGCTGCAGTTAGGCGCACACTGTTCCAATCCGTGTGTCAAACCCGATGGAATAGACAAGGGGAGAGACACCTGCATTTAGAGGAAGCAATGTGTCCCACGGCAGGTGGCAAGTCTCTGCTGAGTGAGCATCCTTACTGGGAACACCATAAGAGACTGGATCCCTGTTCCACCTGGGTAATTCCTATTCACTTCTTCAGGTGTCTGCCCATGTGTCACCTCCTCCAGGAAGCCATTCTTGACTCCACCGAAGACAGATTAATATGTCCATCCTCTATGTGTCAGGCAGCCCGATTAATAACCCTACAGTGGAACTTAAACCACTCTGTAAAGCAAACCTTTGTTTATTCATCTGTCTCCTTCACTGAGCTGTGTGTTTGTTCCTCTGGGCAGGGCCTCCATCTCATTCACTAGTCTAACACCCACCTGGAGCACCCAATTCATGTCTGATGAATGACTGATACTGGCATAGCTGGGTTCAACTCAGTTCTAACCACAGTCCTGCACTTTGGGACATCATTTAGGGTCCTGGTAAATTTCACCACCAGCAACATCAGGGTGTGTAGAAAGAGAGCATTCTGGAAAAAGAAGTAGCCAATGAGCCTTACAGGTATCCCAAATGCTGAACATTGAGGGTATAATACATGTGCATCTGATAGTGAAGCTAGAAGCTGCCTCAGAGTCCAATCCTCTTGTTTAAATATGCAAAATTAAGGAGCAAAGAAGAAAAGGTGCCAGTTTAGGTCACCAAGCAAGGGAGTGGCAGAGAAGAGTCAGCCCACCAGTGTCCCAGGCCAGAGTTCTTTCTATTACATTGTTCTGCCTACAACACTGGAAAATTTGCTCTCCTGGTGTGTAAACAGGCTGATTCCTGTGTGGCAGGTGTAAGCTGACTATGTCTCCAGATGCAGAAGAGGAACAGAAATCATAACACCCAACTCTTGTCGCCCTTCTCAGGTCCTACAGGTTTCTAGTAGAGAAAGCAGAGCCACACCTGAGAATCACAGATGAGTATCTATTCCCTTTAGTTCCTGAACTGGCGAGGGAGAGAGGGCTAAGGGATGACTCCTCACCAGTCCCCCGTCCCTAGTCCCCAGACTTGTGAAACACCTGTAGGACTAACCCTGCTGATAAAACACAGAGCCACCTGCCCAGCCCCTGTGATATGGAGGATTTGAATCCAGAAGTGCTGCCAATAAGCCTCCAGGGAAAATACCAGCAACCAGTGTGCTCCCGGTCTAACCTGAGCAACCAGTAAGGGTGGCTGCTTGGGCTGAATGTGGGTGGAAATAGGGGACAAAATGACATATATTTGAAAACAGGTATTCAGCCGCTGTCTTCTTGAAGGAGTAGGAGATCCTGTTGATCTCTTCACAAGATTTGTGTCTTGTTCATCTCTGATGTCGGCTCAGGTTCCTGCAAACATTGACCTAGTCGAGAAAAGCCAGTGGTCGAGATTTTGAATGTTTTTATTCATTTGATTAGGAAAAGAAATCAGGTTTGAAAATAGCTTTCTGTGGTGTATTCTTGCTGGTGGTTTTTTTCCATTCATGCTCTTGTTTATAAATTACTATCAATATTAATACAGTTGACCCTAAACAACACGGGGGTGGGGGCAGTGGAAAATCCACATATAACTTTTTCAATTACAGTTCACATTCAATATTATTTTGTATTAGTTTTGGGTATACATCATAGTGGTTGGACAATCATACACTTTACTGCATATAACTTTTGACTCCCCAAAACTTAACTATTAATAGCCTACTGTTGACCAGAAGGCTTACTGATAACATAAACAGTCAATTAACATTTATTTTGTATGTTATAGATGTTGTTTATTTTTTCCCTGCAGCAAATTTTATTTCACCTCTTTAAAAATCAACAAATCATGTCGATAAAATACACCAGTAGCATTTAGAAATGATTCTCATTCTCTCACACATTTTGAGACCTCGGTCTGGTCACTTAAATGTTACTATGTTTCTGGTTTCATACATGGTAGGTTGAACCATGCCTTCCCAGAAGCTGTCCACATCAAACTCTGAAACCTAAGTATGTGACCTTATTTGGAAAAAATGTCTGCAGATATAATGAGATAAGGATCTTAATCAGATTATTCAGGATTATTTGGGTGGGCCCTAAATTCAAAGACAACTGAATCAATGATAAGAGGAAGGCAGAGGAATAGCTGAAAGGACAGAAGGGAAGGAGGTAATGTGACCACAGAGGCAGAGATGAGATTGATGTGGCCACAGGCCAAAGAGTGTTGACAGCCACCAGAAGCTGGAAGAGGCAAAGAAGGAGCCTCCAGCGGGAATATGGCCCTGTCAGTGCCTTGATTTCAGACTTCTAGCCTCTAGAATTGTGCGAGAGTAAATGTGTGTTGTTTTAGGCCACCCAGTTTGTTGTAAGTTGTTACAGCAGCCATGGGAAATTAATAGAGTACTCATAAGAAAATCAAAACTTAATGAGGACTGAAATTAGTATCTATTATTTTCATTTGTCCAATATCCAGTCTCCCTTCTTCTGTTACAGCCCCCTGGGTTTCCTCTGGACATCCATCCTCCTGCCACTGCCAGCCTGTGTGGACTGGACGGGCTGGCTCCACTCCCACCCCAGCTCCACTGGAGAACAGGACACAGATGAGGCTCATCTGACTCTAGACATAGTGATCGGCTCAGGAAAGGCCACATAACTCATACCAAATCAATGAGACTCGGTTTTAAGAAGATCCCAGAATTCTTGGGAAGCCTTTTTTCTCTTGGATGTGAAGCTGGCATGTGTCATTGTGGTGCTGCTGGAGTCTTCGTGAGAGGAGAGCCTACTGAAAGTGAAGCCAGTACAGGAAGAAGTGGGGCCAGAAAATGACTTGAGACTGGGTCTGCCTTTTATCCCATGAGCCCTAGGACCCAGCTTGCCAGAAAAGGCTGTATCCCTAGAATTTCGACTCATAGGTGCTAATAAATACCTTTATTTGCTTCAGACAGTTTGACTTGGGTTTCCACCCCTAACAATGAAAAAGTCCTGACCAATATAAAGGTCACATTGTCTTGTGTCCTTGACTGTTTCTTTGGCATAACCAATACTTCTTTGGGAAAGCCCACGAGATAACCACCTGCATTTCTAATGACTTGAGAACAGGAACACTTCTCTTCTAACAAGCCCACAATTTTAGACCAAAAAGGGGTCTTAGTGGTCATCTAGTTCAAAGCCTACATTCTCCCCCTAGAGAATTCTGGGGAACTCAGGTGAAGTACCCAGAGTTACAGCAATTCCATGGTAGAAAGCTGTATTTCAAGGCATTTGCTTTATCATTTAAATATATTTGGTGAAGGCCTGGCTTCAGGCCAGGCCTTCAGTCCACTGTGGCTCAGTGGATTGGGCACTGCTCTGTGAACTGAGGGGTTGCTGGTTCAATTCCTGGTCAAGGCACATGCCTGGGTTGTGGGCCAGGTCCTCTGTTGGAGGTGTGGGAGAGGCAGCTGATCAATGTTTCTCTCCCTCTCTTTTTCATTCCCTTCCCCTCCCTCTAAAAATAAAGTCTTTTTAAAAAACTAAAATTTAAATATATATATGTGTGTGTGTGTGTGTGTGTATTTGGTGAAGATACTCCAATAGTTACTAGAAGATTAAAATAACATATACCTCTAGTCTTTAAAAGAATAACCACAACAGTAATTTTTTTGCATGCAAGTGTTTAATAGTTATGCTCACCTGCAGACCAGGTCACCAGTCTCTTGTGATTTCCTTATAGGAACTAGGAAGCAAAGGAAGAAAAGGCAAGGGACACATCTGCTGGGAATAGATACATGATGGTATAAATATGCAAGAGCCCAGACAAACTAATTGCTTTATTAAAGTTGTAGTTCTAGAACAGCTAGAGAGAAAAGGTTTTTGTTACAAAAACTACTGTACTGGTTCTGGTAACCAGAGGATGGTAGAATATGGGGGCTGCCTATATCCAGTTGGATTGAATTGCATTTGTTCCTTGAATTCCATGAGTACCTTCTGTGAGCCAGGTACTCTTCTGGTATAGGGGATCCTAAAATGAACAAAACAGAAAGTATCTGCTCTCAATGAGTTTGCATTTAGTAATACGGGGTCTCAGAGGATGATGGGTTTATGGAGTACAACTGAAAGAAGCGAAGGGGTAGGATGCTGACATGTTGTATTTCATATATTTATATAGGGTGGGCAGAAAAGGCTTCACCGAGAAAAATGGCATTTGAATAAAGGCTCTAAGGAAGTAAGAGAGCAAACCATGTGGACATTGGGGAAGCACGTTTCAGGCAGAGGAAGTAACAAGCACAGAGGCCCTGAG